ACTATTTTCAAAAACATATCATCAGAAAAAGTTCTCATAGGAAACCCAAAAAGAATTCAACAGTATATATATGGCAATTTTTTGCTAATTTATAATTTTATTATTTGGCACACACGTTCATTTTTACTGTATAGATTTTTACATAATTGTAGTCTATGATTTAGAAAAAATATATATATTTATTATTTTAATCTCAAAGGTAGTTGAAATGAATGAAATATAATAAATTGTAGGGGAGTGTTAAAACTCTCTCGGCACTACTTATTTAACCTTTAATTATTGAATCATGATATGTATATGTACATATACATATACATATACATATATTTTATTTTTTGTTCAACTTGTACATAAGTCACGTGACTGAAAAAAAATAGCAGAAAATTTAGAAATTCTGTTTAAAGGTGAATCAGGTTTTTTTTTTTTGAGAGAGAGAGAGAGAGAGAGAGAGAGAGAGAGAGAGAGATATCGATCCAACGAGAATAAATGAAAAAAGAATATCTTTTCTTTGCGCCTGAACATGTCAATTTCATGGCATTTCTATTCTTTTTCCCACAGAACTTTGAGTGAGTTATTTGTTTCATTTATTTTGGGTTTGTTAACATAATTTTGCTTTTAGCGAAATTCGCAACAAATCAAGCTTTCTATGCATGCCATGCTTTTTTAGGCATACATACTTATATATATACATATGTTTACATACCTGCATATGTATGTGTATATATGTATGTGCACACGCAATAGCCTTTTTATTGCCCTCCCAACGGTTAAGCTTAGGTTTCACCCATTAGTCAATATCATTTGCCTTGGGATTTGGACACATTAATACATACAAACGTATGCACCTACAAAGCAAAAAACACTAAATAAACAAGCATTCAAACAATCATGCATATGCAATATAAATATACACATACACAACAACTGTCTACCATATCTCTTCTTCGTTTCGGTTATCCTCCAAGAAGAGCGTGGGTGGAGCGTATAGAAAGTGTCGGCCTCTGGTTTCCATTGATATTTTTGACATTGCGGCGGCGGATGTTTCAAACAAAGCGCGCTACTTATTTACATATATTTTAAGAATTCATCGTATTCATCGTATTCATCGTTTTGGTGGCATCAGCCACTTCCCTTGCGAATGTTTACAAAGTGCTCTTCTTGACTTATTTGCATAATAGGCGCACTCTACGAATTTTCTTATCATCCTTTTCCCTTTAAATTCTCTTATGTTTCTTCTTCTATAGTTTTTTTGTGTTTCTTTTTTTTTTTTTTTTGCTTTTTTCGGTTTTTTTTTCTTTAACTCACAGTGATGCTATTAGCATTTTTCTCGTTTTTCGTTTCTTTTATTTTTCATTTCAAATTTTGTTTTCGGTTTTCCTTTCATTCAGTTGCTCAGTTTGGTGGTCCTTTTCGGTTTCTGGTTTCTTGACATAATTCCCCTGTGCACGACTGGTGGCTGTGCGGCAATCAAAGTGGCTAAGTTTGGTGTTTTTTTTTCCATCGAAGCGGCCGTGAGGAGGGATGAAAGAGTGAGAATTTGTTTTCTTCTTGATTGTGTCGGGTCAAGTGATGTTGTAGGTGCTGACCTTGATGGCTGGCAATAGTGTGCGTGCCTCATTATAGTTTCTGATAAATTTCTGTACGCAAATGATGAACTGCAAACTAATTTATATATATATTTATGTACATATGAACATTTAGATATTCGCAAAGATTTAAGGTCAAAGAATGTTGTGCGAAAATATTTTTACATATATTTCGACATATTGATCTAAAGAGGAGTTCTCAGAAATAGTTCAGAGCTTTAAAGATTTCTTAAAATAAACTACGAGTTCATATGCGCTGAAGCTCCTTTCCAGAATTTTACTGCAGAAAATTTGAAGCCTAAGTATAAACTCACGATATTCAGTCTCATCTCTGTAACGCAGATTGCTGAAAGCCATGCAAAACATACGTTAATATAGATTTCTGCTACTTTATATGATTAATAACCGGCATCGTACACACTTTTGCAGCCAAAAGCAAGACTCCAATGATGAGAAACTTGTAGAGTTGGTTTTTGGTTAGTCGACAGGGGCCCATATCTTTCAATTGCCTACGCAGTCCAAGGTAGTACCTGCTGGCAGGAGGCTGACATTATCTATGGTGTAAATTGCGAGTCCTAATTCACTACCAGATCCTAGCGATTCAAATTCTTCTGCAGTCTGGCGGTAGAGGCAACTCCTTACTGTGCTTTCCAAGGCAGCTTCAACTCGATGAAAACGTGATGTGTACCGATTCTTTTCTCATGTGCCTTTCCCAAGATTTTTCGCATGGTAAATATCTGGTTAATGGTGGATTTACCAGCCATATCGGCGACCGCGGTAGCCGAGTTGTTAGTATTGCGTACTGACATTCAGAAGGCTGGGGTTCAAACCCTGGTACAACTAACATGCAGAAGTCATGGAAAATTAATATCAATAAAAATTTAAGTTAAATTTTCTAATTGCGGTCGTCCCTCGTTAGGGAATGTCAACGCCTCAGAGTGTATTTCCCACCTGAAATAATGGATTCCAATAAAAAAAGAAACATCACCCGTTCGGGAGCGGTTAAGTATGTATATATATATATATATATCATATATATATAAATCAATCAATTATCTTTATATATATATAAATAAAATGTGAAGAAATAAAAATTAAAGTATTTAAAATATAGTTAAAAGAAAAAAAATAAATAAAGTACAAAATTTAAAAATGAAATAAAATAAATTCAAATGAAACAAATTAAGCAAAAAAAAAGAAATTATTTAAAAGAATATAATTAAAAAAAAAAATTTAAAAAAGTTAAGTCAAATTACAGAAAAATTAAATCAAATTAAATAAAGTGGAAAAAAGAGAAAAATTATAGTAAAATAAAATAAAATAAAATAAAATAAAATAAAATAAAATAAAATTAAAAAAAACCAAAAAAAAAGTATGAAATAAAATAAATTAATCTAAGGAAAATAAAATTAAAAAAAAAACCAAAAAAAAAGTATAAAATAAAATAAATTAATCTAAGGAAAATAAAATAAAATAAAATTTAAAAAAAAACCAAAAAAAAGTATAAAATAAAATAAATTAATCTAAGGAAAATAAAATAAAATAAAATTTAAAAAAAAAACCAAAAAAAAGTATAAAATAAAATAAATTAATCTAAGGAAAATAAAATAAAATAAAATAATGTGAAATAAAATAATATAACATTAAAAAAGAAAGAAATTTAAAAAAATACTTTAATCTAAGGAAAATAAAAGATAAGATAAAACAAAGTGAAATAAAATAAAATAAAATAAATCCAAATAAAAATTAAAATAAATCCAAAAAGAAAAAAATATATAAAATATGATAAAATTAATTAAATAAAAATTTTGAAACACATTTCACTTGTAAACACTTTGAAAGGACATTATCCGAAATATTTAAGTGGCTAGTTCCACAATAATTGGTGCAGTCCGTGAAGTCCCCTTTGTTTTGGATAGATCGTCGATTGTGCTTTCGTTAGACTTTATTCTGCAAAAAAGCTGATGCCTGTACCACGTCAGTCCTCCCCGCCATATTTGAATAGCTCTGCCTGTAAGCCATCGACTCCAGGTCTAATACTTGTTGTAAGATATCAAACCCGCATTTTACACATTTCTGAAAAATTCTTTAAAGTGCGCGAAGAATTTAAATGGTTTATGGGTCTGAGAAAGACATGCGATTATATCTGGACGACCATTACTCTTGATCAGATGCTCAAGTAAATACGAAATTTCGGTTTCTCAAAATTATTTTCGATATACTGATTTTGTTTTTCATAATACTACCATAAATAGCCCGGAATTCAATATCGTTGATCTACTTATTACCTGTATTTAGACTTGGCACTGTTAGACAGTCCAAGTCACGCATCGCAAGATACTGGAGAATACCGAATTGTTGATCAATCGTCTATGAAATGAGTAAGTAGAAAATCTTATGCTAACATTAAATATATAATTGACGCTTTGTAACCGCTGAAACGATCTTCCGCCGAGCTCCTGCTCCAATTTGTAGTTTTGCGACTCGAAGTTTTTTCCAACAAAATGGCTAATGCTAACCTTAGTGATGGGAAGATGCCAAACTCATACCAATTTTATGACATTACAAAGTGCTTAAGTACGTTAAATGCCTTCAGCGAGTTAACTCGCCCGTAACAAGGGACATCAAATAACTCAAAGATAATGATTTATAGCAAAATAACAACCTGACAAACTTAATTGTCTAGAAGAAAATATCACAAACAGCCTACAAGCACACATGTACACATGTGGTAGATATAAATAAGGACAATCTATTGTCATGAATAAAAATATACATACACACACCCATACATGTATAGTTAAATGAGCAGTTGTAAGCAGTGATTTACCATGGAAATCCGCAAATGAAGCATTAATTCCAGGAAACGGTTGAGCGAAATTGCTGCAAACAAAATGGGAAGAATAAAGGCAGAAGGAAAAGTACATAATCACCATACACACACACACACACACACATGTATATATATATATATATATATATATATATATATGTATGTATGTATATGTATATGTATATTTGTCTATTTAACGCCAAAAGTCGAAAGTTTTACGCGAACAATAGCTGCTCAATAAAACTACTTAAACGTAGGAAAGCGCTATAGGTCTACTTTTTTAAAATCAAAAAAAAAAAAAAAAAAATAATGCCAAAAACAGCAAGTTTTGAATAACATATCTAATATCCTTTTCAATAAAATAATTAAAAAATTAATAATTTTAATTAATTAATTTAATTTATTTCTCTTCCTTCTAAGCATATAAAGAATTCTAGCTCCTGTGATTCACAAGATCAATTTAATAGTTGTATTTTGAAATAGACTTAAGTGCTTTTTGTCACAATTCTGCTCAATTTCTTACTTTTAAAAAGGACCCATAACACCTCCTATAGTTAATGCAGATTTACCACTATTTTCAGAATCATCTATAACTGATTTACAACATTATTGCTTACAACAGCTCCAGTGTATATCGCTGTGGACTTGAGTATATATGTATGTGAGTATCTATCCCACATGTATGTCGTATATATAAATTACTAACTTTGTGTCGAGTTGACAACAAAATAGGCAGCGAAAAAAAACCGAGAAAAACACAATTTACGAGCATAAGTAAGTAGAAGTTAATGAGGCAAAAGAAGTGTCTAAGTACATATCCTGACATATGAGGCAGTGGAAAAGAAGATAACAAATAGTGAGGCAAGCCAACGGAGATGATGTTATAATACATATATATGTATGTGGGATGAATTGCTCCACATAAGCAAAAAATCCAGGGCCTACCAAATGAAACGCGGAATTTTTTTTAAAGTTGACGTTTTTTATAAACAAATAATTACCATAAATCCGTAGCAACAGCCTAGTTCGAGTCAAAGCCCGCTCAACAGCAAAATTATAAATTTTTTTTTTAATAAAAATTAAAGAAACATATCTTTTCTTTTTTCGACTGCTTCTCCGCAGAGCATAATTGGTGTCAATTATATGTAAAGGGTGATTTTTTAGCTATTCTCCTTTTGGCAATACTGGTTTAAACAGCTGATGCACGATTTGTGTTTTATATCACTGCCAAAAATCTTCAGTTTGATATATAATTTAACCATGAATCGTCTTACAAACGAACAATCCATGCAAATTATTGAATTTTATTATCAAAAAGCGTGCTCTGTTAAGAAAGTTTGTCGTGCTTCGAAGATCACTTTTGGCTTAATGAGTGCGTAAATAAGCAGTTTTGTCGATTTCGGAGTGAAGATCAGCCAGAAGTATTGCAAGAGCTACCAATGCACCCGGAAAAAGTCACACTTTGGTGCGGTTTATGGGCTGGTGGCATCATTGGACTTTATTTCTTTCCAACATTTCAGCCGGTAGATGTTGTGAATCGTAACGTAACTGTGAATGGTGAACGCTACCGTGAGAAAATATCAAACTTTTTTTTGCTCAAAATGCAAGAACTTGACTTACATGACTTGTGGTTCCGACAAGACGGTGCCACATGCCACACAGCATGTGTACCAATGGGCTTATTGAGAGGCGAGTGCGGTGAATATTTTATTTCACCTTCGGCACTGGTCAATTGGCCGCCTAGATCGTGCCTTTACACTATCTTTTGTGGGGATATGTTAAGTCTATCATCTACACAGAAAATCCCCCTCCAATTGATAGGTTGAAGGACAAAATTGAAGCTTTTATTCGTGAGATACCGACCGAAGTGTTGGAAAGAGTATGCCAAAACTGGACCAAGCGGATGGACCATTTGAGGCGCAGTCACAGTCGAAATTTGCTTGAAATAATCTTCAAACATTAAACTATCTGGACCGTACTATCAATTTTTTATTGGAAAACTTTCCTATAGCTCTTAAAAGATCACCTTTTACATTGTATTATAGCTGTACGCTGCAACGCATAGCTGTCGCCCATACTCATTGAGTGTAAGAGAAATTAATCATGGAATATCTTTTTATTATAACTTTATTCACTCAATATTTTACCATTGTCATAGGTCCACTTTCCGGAGGGTAGAGTTATTCCCGCTCATATAAGCAAATTGCCACCTTTTCACCGAATTTCAAGTAAATGGAAGCATAAAAGATGTTTTAATAGTTCAGCCCTTGGTCCTCTTTCCGAATTTTTTATTGTAAACCTTCCCAGGAACCATAGAAATAATCTGAGAAAATTTTAACTCAAGCGGTAGATAACGTTTAGAGATTTCTTGATTTTTACAAACGAACATAAAATTTTTATATATAATATGTTAAGAAAACATTCCAGCGCTTTTTTTTCTTCCTTCCTTCTTTTTTCTTTCGTTCTGCTCTTGATTTTGGTTAGCGAACGCGGCACCCACTGCGTACAGGGTTCTCTTGTAGTCATATGCTCGTGTCAGATAAAGCAGCACGATTCTCTGGACTCTTCGTTTTATAATCGTTTTCTGGTGTTATCGACACAGTGGGACGATCACATCATAGGCATCTCGCTGATAACGGTCTATTTTTCACCAAAAATACAAAATTGATTTTTAATCCACTTAAAACAGCAAAGTTACTGCCACTCTCAGCACAAACACCTACAAAGCAAAGAGTGGAATATCACGAAATTCTAACAGTACTCTATTCAAGGTTAGCAGAAAACGAACTGAACGGTAAACTCAACAAAACTAGCACCATCTTTGTGTTAGGCCCGGGACTTTTCAGTCCATGTCATGACATAGAATTGACATAGATGATGAAATGCACAATGCTCCATTTACCTTCCGGCATCAGCTTGAGAAACGTACAGCGGATATTATGACACAGAAATAAGCGTAAATAAATACATATGTGAGGTACTGTCGAGCAAAATGTCCACACAAAACACTTAATATGTATTGTATATATATAGATATGTATGTAGACATTTATGTATGTGTGTATGAGTATGTAGAAAAACGAATTTCTTGGGGATAAACGAATATCTATTACAATGGCACACGAATAGCATTAGCTACAATATTTGTCCCCTAGAAAACGAGATTACACAAGGTAATTTCTACTGTTGGTGCAAACTGAGTATGAGTTTTTGATATTTGTGTGCGACATCAGAGAAACTCACCATTCACCATTCAAAGTTGTAAGGACTGCTAAATATTTATCATCAGTATAAAAAGGATACAAGAATAAAAAAACAACTGACAACCCAGATATTTTTCCTCAATAGTTGAGCGCCAGATTTTTCAGCTTAAGCATTTAAGCAACACTCGTTTATTGCTCACTGTTCGAAAATTTTCCTGCATGAGCTCGAGCAATTTGAGCTTTTTCTTGAGTTTTTTCTTCAGAAATTCTTACGATAATTTTAAATTTATCTATGCAAAGTGAAAAAACTCATATTAAAATGCTAAAGAAATTTTGACAATTTTGAAAACTTAAATTTTGAAAAAAAAAATCATTTAAGCAGTTGAGCAACGAACGAGTATCGAGCTGTCCGCACTGGTTACTATCCAAGGCTCAACTCAATACTGGACATTGAAAGGGTTTTAAGTTATTGCTGTAGACGAAAACTTTGAATGAGGTTTTGATTCAAACAGCCAGTTCTGAAATATTTTTTTTTTATATTTTTTTTTATTATTTTTTCTTCGGAGTCAGTGCATTAAATTCAAATAATTAGTAAAAATTATCAATAGTGCTATATATTTTTTTAATTAAAAATTTTATTTTGCAGTTACTGAAAAAAAATTATAGCTGCCACACAAATATACACATATTAAGATGTCTTTCATATTTATTATCTTTTTACAACAAATTGTGCTCAAATTTCAGTGAAAACTTTCATGAAGGATGTATCTGTAGTCTAAATCATATAGACAAGCACAACAATCGACAGGGTCTATAGAGGCAAACATATTATTACATACAAATCTACGAAACCCACATGCACATTCAAACATACATTACCCATACTCATATGTATGCCTCCATTTGCCATTCCTCTCGACCTCTGCTCCGTGATGCACAATTACTGCATGTAAACTCCATTTTAACCTTTCACTCGAATGCATTGACTTAATGAAGTGAAACATTTGGATTCACAAGAGCACGTTCGCAGTAGGCAATGGCAAAAACAACAACAACAAAGTTTAATGTGAAAGCACAATCTCTTCAATGTAATTGAGTTGAAATAATTTAATTTCTTTGTTTTTTTTTTTGTTTTTTTTTTTTTGCCTGTTTGTGTCATATTTTTTGCTATTCAATATAATGTCAACAGCACAAGAAGGAGATAATTTCGTATATGCGTAAGTTTGTACAAATATACATACGAGTATGTAAGTATATATATGAAATGAGTGAGGGTATAATATTGGATTTAATTCAAAATTTTTAATATATTTTTTATAATATTCACATTAAGGGATTTGTTGTGAACACATAAATAAACTCCGGTTAATCTTATATCAGATTGAATTCTGTTAGTTCGGAAAATTAATGGCTTGTGAATAATGCCAAGACTTATGGATTCTCTAGCTTATGGATTCTGCCAGCTCTTGGCTCCACTTAAATGATTATAGCTGAGTCAATGATAGCGCTTCACTCATTCTTTCTCTTCGCTGTTTGGCGTAAGTTGGAAATGAAGTCACCTGGCTTCCCATCTGATCCTTCCTCTTCCTTTTCCTCTTCCTTTTCCTCTTCCTTTTCCTCTTCCCTTTCCTCTTCCTTTTTCTCTTCCTTTTCCTCTTCTTCTTCCTCTTCCTTTTTCTCTTCCTTTTCCTCTTCCTCTTTCTCTTTCTCTTTCTCTTTCTCTTTCTCTTTCTCTTTCTCTTTCTCTTTCTCTTCCTCTTCCTCTTCCTCTTCTTCTTCTTCTTCCTCTTCCTCTTCCTCTTCCTCTTCTTCTTCCTCTTCCTCTTCCTCTTCCTCTTCCTCTTCCTCTTCTACTTCCTCTTCCTCTACCACTTTCTCTTCCTCTTCCATTTCCTCTTCCTTTTCTTTTTCCTCTTCTTCTACCTCTTTCTCTTCTTCTTCCTCTACCTCTTTCTCTTCCTCTTCCTCTTCCTCTTCCTCTTCCTCTTCCTCTTCCTCTTCCTCTTCCTATTCCTTTTCCTCTTCCTCTTCCTCTTCCTCTTCCTCTTCCTCTTCCTCTTCCTCTTCCTCTTCCTCTACCTCATCCTCTTCCTCTTCCTCTTCCTCTTCCTCTTCCTCTACCTCATCCTCTTCCTCTTCCTCTTCCTCTTACGCTTCCTCTTCCCCTTCCTCCGCCTATGCTTCCACCAGCGGGTATCACTTGGAAATGTTTCCAATCTCGATTGTTTTCATAAATTCGAACGACATCGGACGATTACAGCGTAGTCGCTGTTTCTTTAGTCGCCGAACTATGTAAATGTATATCCTGGTCAGTTCATCATTCCATCGGCTGCGGTATTCGTCATTATCAACGTGCAGAGGATCGTAAATATTAAGCAAAATCTCCGACTTATCAGATGTTGCCTTTGTCCATACCTGAGCACCATACAGCAGGACTGCACGACTCGGCCAGTCTAAA